TAAAATATATATATATATATATATGACTTTTATAAAATATTTAATCATATCAAATCTTCTCTTTGCGTCCTAACCTTACATAGAGATTAATCATAATTATATAAAATATAGCCTTTATTCTATAAAATGCATGTTTTCTAAAATAAATAAATAAGTAAAACTTCGAAAGTATTTTACGATAAAATTTACAAAATAAAACTTATAACAATGTGATAATTTAATCATGAAAAACAATGGTAGATGTGGAAGGTGAATATCTAACCTATTGTATGTAGCATACACTCATATATGCTTTAAAATTTATATTAATATTACATAAGTATCGTCATATTAGAAAAAAAATTACTTTTACCATATTAATTGCATAAAATTCTCCATAAAATATATTATAAATGAGAATTTTATCATCTATTTTATGATTTCATGATATTAAATTTTCCATAAATTTACACATTGAAATTCGAATAAATCTTAAGTAAAATGGATCTATAACATCATGTAACTAAACAATATTGTTATTATTCTTTTTTGTTTTATTTTAAATGAAATATTTTGTATGTTCTACTATTACAAAATCTTTCATGAGCATAACAAAATTCTAAGGAAAAAAAACAAGGAGAAAGAAGAAGAAAAGTATCAACATAAGTCTAGTCTAAGTAAACAACGAACGTGTAAATCTATGATGCCATTGCTCTTCGGGACTTTGATTTATACGATAGCTTAAGTATTATATAAATATTTCGCCTTACTTATTTATAATGACGCCAATCTCTGGTTTGTATAACCGGAAAACACTGATAAGTAAAATTCACTATATCGTTCCTTATCACTCATTGCAATATTAAATTGCGGAAAAAAGTCGCGAGTGGTTTCCTCGCGATAATTATACTCAGAAGATTTACACATCGAGAATGTAATAAATGCTGCAGCGCTTTTTCAGTAGGGAAGCGTCATCACTCTACAGATATGCGGATTGTGCTCATCCTCTGTTTGCTATTCTTCTATGAAGTTTCCTCTCAAGGTATAGTATTTAATGAAGTAGTGATAAAATTACTAATTAAATAATTATATAATATTAAAATTATAATTATAGTAATTGATGCAAAGACATTTGAAAATGTACTGTACATTTTCAAGTGTCTTGGCATTAATTGCTTTAATTATAATAAACGTGTATATATTATTTTAGCCTTTTAGTCAAAACATTTTAGCATTTTACTGTAATATAAATGTATATATACAGTATATAGTTATATATAAATGTCATGCTAGCACTTAATACAACTAAATAAATTTAATATATAAACTTTTATGTTGTAACTATCTTATTATTAGCAGCATATGCTTTACTGTCATATCATTATTCTTTTAAATGCATACATTAAGATTTTACATTAAATAATTAAGAATTTAAACTAATACTGTATAATAATGACGTTAGTTTTGTATAACAGAAAAATAATCAAATTTACTTGTACATTGTATGTTGAGTTATTTATATCAATAATTAAAATTATTTACGTAATAAAAATGTAATTTTTTAAAAGTAATTTCCAGTGTTAAGGCCGAATTTATTTTAATTAAATTTTTAAATATTTGTCCTGATATAAAGGCTCTATATCTACATCCTCCTATTTACGTTTTTGTTCTTTAATTTCTACGAACGACTGATACTAGTAACATGACCTTTATTTTTTTACTTTCGGTCAATATGCAAAGAAAAAGTTGTGTAATTGCAATTTCCATTTACCAAATATTCTTTCGTAATCACGTTTCTGAATTCCCGTTTACAAGACTTTCTCAGTTTAATAATAACCATTAAAATTTTGAAGCAGAATAATGGACTAAATGGCATAATGTGTAAAAGATTTACTTCCATTTTTCATTAGAATTAAGCAGTAGAGTCTGTAAATAAGAGCTTTGATTTAGATACTAACCGAAGAATTTCAATTATAATTTTTTAGATTTCTTGTTAGATTTCGACAGAAGGAAAGAGTGTGTGTGTATGTAGAAATACACGCATATAGCTTTTATAATTATTTAATTTATTATTTTAATATCGTTAATGAAATAACGAAATTATTATTGAATTATTACAGCTTCCATATGTCATCTGCCACCAAAACCTGGACCGTGTGATAGGTATTTTCCGAAATATTTTTATAATCCCAAGACGGGAACTTGTCATCTTTTCATTTATGGAGGATGCGGTGGAAACGATAACAGTTTTTCTACAAGGTCTCAATGTTTAAATGCATGCCGTGGTAAGTATAAAGAGTGACGTGTAATATAAAATATTCTCAATTTATATATATAAATCGCTTGTATAAAATCGCTAACAATTTGGGCCAAATTACATTTAATATTTGAAGTATTCTACATCTAAAATTATATAAAAACATTGTTTTAAAATACGATAGAGACATAAACAAGCGTATACTATAATATATCAATGTAGTAAATCTAAAATTGGAGCTAAGATCGATAAGATTTCATAAAAGTTGTAGCAGTTCATATACAATGGTGAATTATTGTGGTCGAATGTAATGCTATACACAATGATCAGCATTTAGGTCAAGGAAGTGCATCATGCAGCACACATTTATTATAGTTAAGTTTGAAAGCTCTGATATAATTCGTAAAATAAAATAATAAAAGAACATATTAATAAAAAATTCTATCAAATTCTTATTTTATTTTATTTTCTTTTACAGGATTATGATTTAAAATGAAAGGAAGAATGGACATTCATCTTTTTTATACATTTTTTTTTTTACCTATACTGTATTTCTTACTATAAAAATTTACTTTTATAAGCTATTTTATGAATTTTTAGAGATTTAAAATAAAATATTTATTCATTTCATTGAATGTAATGTGTTATTTTTATAAATAAAATATTTAAAATAATCTCTGTAGTGGATTATAAAATGATTTTTCATTATAGTAAATATGCTGTATGTAGTATTAGATCAGTGTTTAGTACTAATTAAGTTCTATATATCAATAAAAATATAGGATAATTTACGCAGGAAAAAATAAAGAATTCAGTACTAAAGGTTTGTGAAATATTTAAAGTAATGTAAAGTGAACATTAATTATATTTTTGACAAATTAAGTGAACTAAAACTTTTAATTTAATTAGAAGAACTTTTTGCTAATACAGTACTGAATTAATTAATTAATTAAGACAAAGAAAAGAAAAAAGTTAACATATGTTCAGAATATACCAACTGAAAACAATTTAAAACTAATAATTCAATAGTTTATTTAACAAATTTTAAAATGTGAAAAAGTATATGCACATATACTTAAAACATTTCTAACAATACGAAAAAGCTAAAAAGAGGTTAAAACATATCAATCGAAACTTAAACATTATACTAAGAACAAGGAGGACCGAAAAAATCGATATTAATAAAACATGTGCTTACCAGGGATCGAACCTGGGACCTTCCGCGTGTGAGGCGGATGTGATAACCGCTACACCACAAGCACTTATTAAGATACACTTTCCTGTATAGTTATCAACACAATAATAGATTATATTTAAAAAAATCTTATCGTTAGTTAGCGTGGATATAATTAATTAGATTCCGTAATGTCCTATCAAAAGCTATAATTCGTAATTTACTAAAGTACTATTCACATATTAATGAATAATATAAGTAATTACAAATATACATCAAAAGAAAACTAAATAGTGAGCATGCATATTACACATAATGATGCGTTAAATGCAAACAACTTCATCTTAATTTCGCGTTTTATTTTATTCCAGAAAAATAATTTATTAAATGGATAAATATTTTTCTTTGATGTCGCTAAAGGATTTAGATTTTAATCCGAGTATATTATTATAACGAAAGATGATATTTTCGTAATAAAAATGTCAGAAAAATGAAACAAACCAGACTGCTTGTGTCACAAACACATCTGAGGACACTAGAGAATAAAAAGAAAAAATTAAAAAAACAAAAAAAAAGTTGTGCGCTGTTTCTTTACTCTGTTTTAGCGGCTTTTCTGGATAAAATAACACAGAAGTGTTTAATGACACATCTTTTTCACTTCCTAAAAAAGTGATTAAAATTCCGTTTGAATCAATAATGTGATCTGAAACTTGTTGATAATCTGAATATAATTTGATGTAATTCGCGTATAAATTAATTATATTTGAAATTTTTATAAAATTAATCGCCGATAAGTAAATAATTCATTATTTATAACTGAAATTTTTACGATAAAATAAATTACAAATTTAATATTAAGTTTCTAAATTTTTCGTTAGATGGCGGCAAGTGTTAATGACGTTAAAGATTTCGTGTATGGCCTATTTATGTTTTATACAATATGAAACTTAAATGATAACGATATATCAATTACATGCACTACAGAATTCAAATATTAAATTTTTAATTTATTTTAAGATCGATATAATATTTTATTGACTTTGGAAGAGGTAGAGTGTAAATGCCTTGTGAAAATTGTCAGTTCTTATGAAGAGATAATTGAACAGAGATGTTTCAATTCGGAGGGATGCAAGGATCGTTACACTAGTTGGGTAAGACAACCGTCTCTTCGACTTTCTTGACCAATTCGGTAATGATTCTTCGATACTTTGTGATCGAACAGTATCCCGATGTTTAGAATTCTCAGATCGAGTTGAAGTATTCGTCGTAAGAGATATGTGACGCAAATGGGAACTTGTGGAAACAGTCTGGTGTCATTCAGCCAACATCTCGGGGGATCGAACAGGTGACGTAGAGCGATACCAGCCACAGAAATAGGTTGAATCGATAGCGAACAGAGATTCTGATTTTGATCCAAAAGAGCGCAGTAACGTAACAGCAGCGAGAGTAAATCGGAATTGTAATTCCAGATAGCGAAAACACGCGGATGGATTCTATTATTAGAATACAATCCCAAATCCACTATCCTTTTACCCAGAAAAGTCATTCTGATCTTCTGAGAATAGTTTAAAAAATAACTTAGAAATTCGTAGTTGTCGGTGTAGCACTGCATAGTTTACTCGAATAAATCCGTGAAATGATAATGGATGGAATAAAACTCTAGCAGAACATCAGCGACTAATACTTTCCACCGAAACATACACGTACCAAGTGATTGACTAATAATTTAATGTAGATACGAAACTGGAATGTACAGTACCTTGATGTAGTTAACATTCGTTCCTGTAAATATTCAAAGTATTTCGAAAATCATTATTCTTATTTCCTTTGATACGTATTTAGAATGATCCGGTATATCGATTCCAATATTACTCGATCTTCCATAAGTCTATAATCAAGTACGGTATAGGCATGGCATTTAAAAAAAACCAAATTAATGACTCGCGATTAAACTTTATAAAAAAATTAGTCAAATCCGGTTAAAAATTCTTCATTGGTATTGTTAAACAAACAATACTCAAACAGTAACAATACTTTTCAGTGTTTATTATTACCCTTCAAACTCTTTCTGGTTTTTATTAATCATAAAATTATAAAAATGTCTTTATATAAGAATGTTGAATTTTATTGATGTTTTCTTTCATATTTTAACAAACTTAATTACTTTATGCTAACAAACAATTACATATTGTTGTAAGACTCATGTCAACTAATGAATGAATGAAAATTATAATTGCATGTAACNAAAAAAATTAGTCAAATCCGGTTAAAAATTCTTCATTGGTATTGTTAAACAAACAATACTCAAACAGTAACAATACTTTTCAGTGTTTATTATTAACAATTAATAATGTTAGCTAAATAACATTAAAATTTAAATGTCTTTAATATCGCAAAGATGCTAATCTAATTATTTAATATATTTTTTTTAAACGATAAATTTAAGGTTTCCTCAAATTAAATATAAAAGTCAATAAATAACAGATGGATTGCTTCTAACTTGTAAATAGCTGTTTAACCAATAGTATAGTCTGTTTCATATGAAACGAACAATACCATTGGTTTACTTACGTAGCTACTTGTTCACTTACAAGCATCCATTTTATGCCTTGTTCTTCTATTAATAATTTGTATTTGTAGCCTATTAGAAACGTATAAAATTATATTAATTTTTAAAACAAGTTTTTTATCAACAGAAATGAAAATTTACAATTGTTTTAATAAATTTATTAATATTTTAAAACAATTCAACCGAACGAGGATAAAATTGAAAATAGTAATAAATTTTCACTGTAGATGGCAGCAAGCAGTAGTATTGTTTTAAAATTCTGAATACACACGACTTTTTATGCACTTTATATTTTGTAAATTTTTACGGAGTAAATTCTTTCCGATAATTAATATTATTTTCTAGTATAACTATGGAAAAACCTGCGTTAAAAACATGCTAATAGATAGCATGTAAGAAAAAAAAAATTGGTAAAGGGCATTGAACCAGTGGGAGCTGAATTATCCGTTTCTGCAGGCTTTGGTAATATTGAGACAGCTGTTAGGATTTACAAGGGCGCGATCGCTGCTTTACCCTAGGATTAGGACGAACTGAGTAAACTATGTCATCTGTTTTGAGTTTCTCAGAACTTGTTAACAAGACTATCCTTCGTTGACATAAAGTAGAAGTTGCTTTAGAAGTAGAAGTGCAAAAGGACTAGCAGCAACTGATCGGATTTCTTTTCGCGCTCTACTACTTCCATTTTATAAATATTTTTTCCCCTGTTCTCGGTGTTATATATAGTGATACAGTCCTATAAATATACATATATATATTTTAATATATATTTATTTATTATTATAAAGATAAGATAACGCAATTGGTAAACTCCACAAGCATTAGAATGGCAGAACTATAAGCTGAGAGAGAGAGAGAGAGAGGGAAAAAAAAAAGTTATTGGGACGCGATGACGCCATTTAAAGTTAAATTAAAGAAAGTAGTCGCCTTTATGTTGTTGCTTCTGGCCGGAGAAGCGATATTAGATGATAATCTTAACATTTCGACGCATTTAAATGCTGGATTCGTTGCGAAAAATCGCTTTAAAGAGATATCGTCTTAAGTTTTTTTCTCTTTCTGTGGCTATTCAGTCCGGTTTATTGCTGGAAATAAAAATCTCTTAATCCCCGTTTGCGTGCTAATTATAAAGTAAATATCGAAAATTTGCAGTTAAGATGAAAAGAATTAAAAACTGGTCTAAACGTAATTTTCTTCTCAGGTAATCTAAAATAATAGGATCGTTGCCTTTATCTGATAATCTTTGTTTAAAAAACGTAGAAAATAATAATGCTGAGAGTAAAAGCAAACCTATACTTAACGCAAATTATTTAATCTCTACTTTCTCACTTAATTCTGTCACGCAAACAAAACTTTTTTTTTATTTTCGAGTGTAAACTTTAATTTTACAGACTATAATGAATCTGTCATTGTTTCGAAGAGAAAAATGTACTGAATTCCCGTTTTTTTTCTCTTTTTTTTACACACAAAATTCAAACGAAACGTGCGATTTTTTAAATCTAAAATGACCAATCGTCAAATAACTCAACTGTATTTTTTTTTACACACGATACACAAGCATAATTAAAACTTCCTATTCAGGAAAACAAACCACGATAAAATTTCCTATCGGTTGTAACGAATTCATTAATTTCTCAATAATTTAAAGTGAGATAATTGTTAACCAATAAGATACATTCACGCTTTTTAATTGAACGACCCGTAACAGATTTTATCCAATGAGGAATAAGTGTTTACACCGTCAGAGGGTGCTGTCTCCCGTTGGTGGAAAAATAAATCTGATTGACCAGACGTATAGCACGTGTTACCATAGCAACTCGTAGAATGACCAATGGAGAGTTACTCAGACAGGTGTCGAGTTAAAACTCTGTCGAAAATGTCACATTGAGCATTTCAATATGGACCGGACGTTATTTAGCTTCCTTTTAAGTAAGAAAAAAAAAAAAAGATTTTTCGAGAAGTCAACGAGTGTTATTATTTTAAAATCATTTTATTATGTATTTTTTCAGTTTTGTATCCGAGTTTGTCCGAATGTTTTCTGAGTGGCAGCCAAAATAGCGAATGCCATCAGTGGAAAGAAGAATTCGCTCGAAACCAAGCTACGGTCACATCCAAAGTGCCACCGGACGTCCTAGGAAAATGGGTTTCTGAGAGGTAAGTAGCTGTTTTTATACGATCAATTCTCTCTAGAATAATGTTTTTACAATTTTTTTTGCTATTTATTTAATCTACGTTCGTTAAAATATTACTAACCGATATTCATTTTAATTTAATTCGATAGATAATGCCTACCAGAAAGGTATTTAACGTGCATATTTTTACAACCTTATATAATCAATAACTTTTAAGCATTGTTTTACTATTTAATAACACGACAAATAATAAAACAATACGATAAAGTGTTATATTTTCTATTATTATACAAGGTACAAATTATTTTCTATAATATATATCTATATCTTAGGCAATATGTATTTAACATAATATAGTTTACGCACTTTTCCTAATCTCATATACAGTCAAACCTCTGAAAAACGGTCATTGAATGGAACATTAAAAATGGCCATTGTTTGCGGGTAATTTTGTACTCATTTTTGCTTAAAAAAAATTAAAAATTCTTGAAAGAATGGCCTCCGTTTAAAGGTGGCCGTTGTCGGAGGTTCGACTGTATTTTATATTTCAAGTATAATCACTTTCCTTGTTTTTGAAAGATGGATAATACCTATTATATTATATATTTAGTTATAAAAGAGTATTATTTTGTTTAAATTTTTAGACTTAATTTCTGTTTAAATTCGGAAATTACATTATTGAAGAATATAGTTAAATTACATCTAAATACTAGACTATTGTTATCTTCTTAAACTGCAATCATATTAGAGCTAAACACAAGGATTTGGCCCACTAAGGTTGGTAAATTACATTCCCATTAGTTCAACAATAAGCCTCTTTAGTCCATTTACTGTAGTTCTTAGATCTATTTATAGCTTCCACTTAAATTCCCCGCGATCCTTTTACATTTTTACTCTTAACTTTTCATTTATTATTATAACGAAAACGTCGAGAGGTATAAATCATAACAGTCTAAGTTACTTGTTTATTATGAATTGTACTTTATTCTCGCTTAAGTTGAAATTAGACGATGTTTATCTTTATTAAATAGCGTTTTCTTTTATTCTTTATGCAATTTTTTAAAACATTTTTAATCATTGCAGATGTAATCTTTAGTAGAATTTCTGTAAACCGTGCGCTTTTAAAACGGGGAGTGGATCCGCTAATGTTAAATCAATGCAAGGTTATTCTACCTGTCAGGACTTTAAACTTCATCACGGTGGGGGTATTTCTCACTTGACAGTTTGAGTTGCCAAGTGTCTAAATGCAGGAAATATCCACCCGATGTTTACATTGCTTTCAGAATCAGCGGGGTTTCTCCCTCCCGCTCTTCTCCTTAACGGAATCGAATGACACCTAAGCGATCTTCTCGCTTTAACTTTCGTTTCGCTAAACGACAGTGAGAGAAGAGAGATTACATTACTGAGAAATGGCGCTTAGAAAGTAGAAAAATTTGGTTAAAAATTTCAGGTAGTTCCGCCTCGGATACCGTAATTATCGTAGGTGGGTTTGCGAATTTTCATGATTTAACCGGGGAGGAGTTAATGATGTAATGAGGCCGTTCATTATCCGTTGTGTAGTTTTATACTAGGAACTGCGGGTGGAGTAGCCTGGCTATTAGTTGGGGTTGGGCTTTTCGATTTGAAATGATGAAAGATGATAAGCTCGTTACCGAAATAATAAAATATTTATGCATAAACTATGCCAAGAATGTTACTGGGAGAAATGTATCGAAGCCTGGAACATCTGTAATGTGCTGGATTAAGTCTTAAGAGAGTGAGAAGGGAAGAAGGTTTGTGCTCTTAATGGAAGAGTGTGATAAGTATTGATCACGGTGCTGTGACTTTATCGCTCCAATGGAGTCAGTTTGCAGAGATCGAGCGAGCATGAAATCCTCTTTTCTCATAAGTCGTGATCTTTCACATGGATGAATCTGCACAGACTCCTCCCTACCAGTTGCTTCTTTCAAAAAGTCATATCTCTGCCAAACTTCGATTTTGAATTATATTTTTATAAAATACGATTCTATTCTTTGAACCTCAGTTCAGGAATCGTTACTTTATCGGACGTTAAAAAACGACGATTAAATAATTCTTAATGAGCGTAATTAAATTGACAAGGAAGGAAAGAACAGTTTGGATTTTGTTTAAACAGAAAACCGATCCTTATTTTCTCCGCCTTTCTGAAGATTTATCATTTATGGTATAGAATTACAAGAACAGCATCTAATACAAAAATAAGAAGAAATAATAATACCAAAGCATATCTACTAGTAATAAAATAAATTAAGAAAGATAATTTTGATTAAGCTTCGAAAAAAAGAAACTCAATTTAGTAGAGACCACCCACATTCCCTATTGTATGCCTATCTCGCTAGGTTTTTCTTTTGTCCGTCATCTGTCTACCGGAAGAAGTGCTTTTGTGCAGAACAAAAATGAAGCCGTGAATAATCGCATTTTCATTAATTTCATAGAAATGACTTGCATGGATCAGCATAGATTAAGCAGACGAGAAAATATATTGGAACGAGTCGTCGACGATGGTTTATTTACCTTTGATCTATTGAATGATGCGTTCGAGCAGTAGACGAACAGGCTGACGCCTGTTTAGCAGATATGACTATGATGTGTCGACAGTTCATGTCACAAGTTCACTTTTGCAGAAGACATGTTCCAGGATTGATTCGGCGTGAACAAGATAAGTTTCGCGTTTAAATGAAAGTTTCGCTACTCCCTAATACGCTCTTTGTCTCACCTAAAGCGCTTTATACTAAAGCAGAAACGAATTTAAAAGGTAACACGAGAAAAGCTCCATAGCGGTTAACGTGCCTGCGAGATCTTTAAAGCATTTAACTGCAGTCAGTATATTAGCGTAGAAATCGATATCTATTGACAGCTAAACCATTTAAAAATTGAGACATATTAATTTCACTTGCCCCAGAAGCGTATTTAGCAGTATCGATGACGTGCTGCCGAAGTGGGTATATGTAATTACATGCCGTTCCCTATTCAAAAGTGACCTTGATGTGGCAGCACGTGACCAACTGTCACCCTCCTCCGTCCAAACCTAGGAGTGGTTCCACTCTAATGTATTAACCAACAGCTGGAAAACTACTCGATGTTTGTTTTTCACTTCTTTTAAAATCTCGAGATTTTTATATAAAGTTTGGGCGAATGCATTCGATTATGCAGTGTCTAAGCCCTTTTCTACTATATAATCTGAAGAATGTGGCTCTATTGATATCGTTTAAAAGATTCACTCTTAACTTTCCTAGAATATATTTGAAAATACTACTGTATATTTCTCTGAAGTGGCATTATGCCATTAATGAAACGTCGAGGCGACTCAGTGTCCAGTAAACACTAATATGATCTAGTAGTCTGCTACTTTAGCGTGTTTAAAGTTAAGCAAACAACACAAGTAGCACACTACTAATGTTCTAAATATTCTGCAAATAAAAAGACTGACACTACGTTTTAAGATACAAAATTAAGAATTTAATATTGATTATTGCTAAGAAAATTTAAATCAAAATAAAAATTATAGGCCTGTAAGCGTTACATTAAAAAAGTAATAATAAAATATATATTCGAAATTTAGAAAACTTATTTCGTACTATTAACTTTTCAGCTGTGAAGTACGTCCAGGACCAGATTTTCTCCTGAGACGTTATCAGTTTTTCTCAAACAAAACATTTGTCTTGCATCAGTTCTATTATATGGATGATTCTTGCACTTTACCAGCTTATTCCATCATTGCATGGGGTCATTATCATCTCTCTAGAGCATCCTGGATCGTTCCCGGTGCGATGGAAACCGATTATGTCACCACTCGGGTCAATCTAATCGCCTACAGTAGCGACGTGGCCGAAAGCTTGGCTCACAGGATAAATCGCTCCTGTCCGAATCACATTCGTTCGAATTGGCGGCCGTACAAGAGATACAGAATATATAGTTACGTAGAAAACGGAAATGGAAGTAGGAACGACGTTATCGAAGATTACGATTGTTTAAGTTCTCTACACATAACCTTTAACGAACTTCAATTAATGCGTGTAGAACATAGAAAAGCTCTGCACCATCGCCATAAGCCCCATCCTACTAGAATCGAACTGTTTTTGGGTGACGTACACAATGACGTGAACAAACGAAATTTTTATAGGCCAACTAGTTATCAAGCACCGTTGCTTAATTCAAAGGTAAGTTAAACATTTTTCCATAAATATAAATCGGTGCTTATTTATGAGGTTTAAATAATTATCGATATAATTTAAGATCCTAGTAACTTCTGATGTAACGCGCTAAGTGAATTTAAAGATAGAAGAAACAAAGTTGAAAGGAGGAAGGATGTTTTATTATCCGATTCGAAAGATTTAAGAGGGCGTTGCCTCCACCCGTAAAAACCAACTTATCCGATCCTGATTAGAATTTAGAATTACTTCTAATCCCTAGACTATAAAACGCTAAAATCGCGTGTTACATGAACTCGTTTGCTATCTCATCCAATAAAATTCCGATCGAGATCAAAACAATGTGACTGAGGTCATAAATTAGATTTAAAATAACATCGTCTTTGCCATGTTATTTTAAGATTTTGTTCCCCCTCGCATCTACGGAATCTTGGCTTAGAATTAATTTAAAGCTTTCGTCGGGAAGCTCATACTGGTTTTTCCTCCTTTAACCCCCTTAAAGCCCCATTCAAAATAAACTCTCATTCGCATCAGGTAAGCGCAAAAATGGGTTACGACGTGTGAGGGTTTGGAAGAGACAAATGGCTACGTTTATGCTCGACCTTACTGTCATCGATAGTCGTCTATGCCCTGTAAGTCGTGTCTTGTTTTCCAGAAGGGGCAAAAGAGACGACGACGTTTGTCATGCATCTTCGTCAAGCCGTCAAGAGACAGGACCTCCAGACGCGCTACATCTAGTTAACTGTTGAGTAGTTATACACCCGCTTTTATGGCGGGCCAACAATGTGCCATAATAATACCAATAGAACTACATTTAAAAAAATAGAAAAAAAGAAGTGTCATAAGTGATGCATTAAACAGCCGGTTTCTCTTATAAATAAACTGAAAAGTTCTATATGTAGTAGTGCTGGAATCTGTAGCGGGAGGGGGAAAACATAATTTATGACAAAGATAGTTGCAATAGGGAAAAAAATTAAGTTTACGCAAATTGCGGCTATTAAACCTCCAGTAAAGAAAAAAAAAGAACGTATTTGAATGAAATTAATTAACATGTAAAACTGATAATTATAAAAAAAATCTCAGATATCCACTTTTTGATATACCCGGCGGCACTGTACCTACTATGACATGTCCTTTTCACCCGCTGAGACTTGAAGTATGCGAGTTGTTCTTTTGTCTACCCGACTGTTTTACGAAGACCACCCACTGATCTTTATTATATCCCGAAAGAAAGACGATCATTGGTTGAAATATCCCGCAGTTCCTCTTTTTCTTCCCTCTGCCGTAGTGGTTTCGGGCAAATATTCAATTATTCGAAAAGATGGGCGAGTTTTGGAGGTTGTCATAAATTTCCCTAACCTACTTTCCGATAATTTATCTGAAGAAGTCTTACATAACACAACGAAACAGGTTAATATCACAGGATACAAGTCAGATAGATCAAATTTCTATTTAAATATGCACGGAGATTATAGGAGACTTCTATCACCACATCGTCCCCAGACGACGTCAACATCCATCTTTTAAAGCCGACAATACGTTTTTTGACAACCGAAATAACCTTATGACACGCGATAATTGGATAAATTGTGTTTCTCACGTTATTAATGATCAGGTTGGGATGAGTGATTGTCATACGTGATGATAATTACCTTCTTACATGACAAACCGCGATGTAGATGATTAAACCTATCTGCAATTCACTTACTGCATTTTTAATTCGAACGCCAATTTATTTACATAAGCCTACGAATATCGGCTTCAATTTGTTTTATATGTATATACGTTTTACTTATTTCAGAGTGTAGGATGCCACGTATGCCATCTAGTCAGTAAATCTCACGAATTATCCCCACCGCAACTTCCTGCACGTCCGAGATTGCCTGTATACCTGAATGGAGAATGGATCAGTACCAGATGCGAGATACGTCCACTGGGAATGTTCCTAACACGTCAGCTACAGTTCAACAGAGATAACTGGAAGGGTAGTTATCAGTATTATGCCGATCCGAACTGTGCAACACCCACTTTTCTTCTGGAGGCCGAAGGCAAGTTTATAGAGATTCAACCATCCAACAAATTCGCGGGTGCCACCGAATATAACTTTAACGTTTATAGGGGTTTTCTGACTCTTCAAAAAGATTCTTTCGTGGCCGGTGTCAATAGGCACAGTGGAAATCTATGCGGTCGAAGCGGTTCCTGGGAAGCTAACGTTACTCAGGATGTGACATCAACGGGAGGATGCTTGAACCTCGGCATACGAATACCAAGTCTGGAGTATAATGTTGTTAGAATAGACATAGATCATCACGGCAATTCACTGTTATATCTAGGGAAGTTGGACACCGATTTCAGGCCCACTAGTCCATCGAGGCGCCCCACATCGTACCAGCTTCCTCTGGTACAATGTCGGCATATTTCGGATAACCATCTCAATCCAATACCACACGCACTTTACTTGTCATCGAGTTGTCAGTCGAGCTCCACTATAAACATTGTGATACTCTTCGTGTTCTGGATATTAAGAGAATAAGAGGGAAAAAAGTTTTGTGCGTGATGTTCGGTTATTTTTATGGGTAGAGTAAATTTTTAGATTGATGTTTGTAAAAACTATTGTGGGTTTTAATAAGATGGAACAATAATATGAATTTTGTACTGTATATTGTTTGCTATAAAAAAAAATTCGCAGATTTAGATGTACAAAATTGAAGTGTATCTGCGGATAAGGCTGTCGTTATTGTTAATTTAATGAATGTGAAGTCTGTTGTAATATAAATGATGTAAATAAACATCTTAATGTTTTTCTTGTAAACATTTTTCATTGCAGAAATTCTCTTAAAATCATCGATTTTTAGAAACTTCTGTCAAATTTCTGTAGTATTTTTCGAATGAATGGTACAGTACATTATTTTGTACATTAAAACTAATTTTTCTTTAAAAACAATATAAAAAAATAAAAGCTTCAAAATTTAAAATTATTTTAAAAATCTTATGCTTATGACTTCTAAAAATAAGTAAACCTATCCAGAAAAGTAATAACCTCGTCGAAAAACGAAAATACCAACTTCTAGAATTTCAATTTTTGTTCCCCAAAAACTCATTTATCCACATCTGCAATATATCATTATACCTATTTCCTTACGGGGTTGACAGCGAGTCAGGACCCATCCCGCCCAGAACCGGTCCTATATTTCGTTTTGTGTATCTTTTACATACAATTATTCTATAACAGCAATATTCTTTCCTTATATTATTTTGTCATAAGGAAAATGATATCTGTGGGAAAGAATATTTTAAATAATACAAGTTAGATTAGTTACAGATTAAGATTATCGTTCGGGGAGTGTCCAAAAACATTAAATGCGGATGACTGATCCTTTTAAAGTTCCCCGCATTTTTCATGAATCTGCGAGGTATATTCAAGGAGTTACGGGGAGGGATGCAGCTGCTCCTGCATAAAACTGTACAGTTCCTGACTGGTCGAATTTCGCCCGAAAGCAGATGGGCCCTCGAACTTTTGGTGTGGGAACACACCTTGACATTACAAGGATAATTATGATACTGTCAACCCTTCCCTCTATTTGGTAAAGCGATTATTTTATAACTACTGTATATAAAGTAACAAAATTCCGATCACGGAATACGTGTCGCATCTTGGATATAAACAATTTATATAATATATGTGAAGGAGCGAACTGTAGAATCTGTTGACAACGTGATTCCACCCCAAATTCGTAACATGGAGGAAAAGCATCTGGAAAGTTTCATTACATAATTAACAAAGAGAATATTTTAAATAGAAATTCCTTTATACAATACAGAGATTCAAACTTAATTTACATAATGTACAAACACGTGTTCCACTCAAAACTATAAATAACGAATCTAATTTTGTTTTAAAAAGTCAATAAACTTCGAGTCATCTTTCTATATATACATATTTTTTTTTAATAAAAATGTCCACTTTTTTACTATTCGTCTACTCTAATTACATTCATATAAGTTAACCGAAACAAAAAAAAAAACGGAATTTTGTTTCTTTTTTTTTAGAAACCAAGAACAATCGGATGTCTGTTGTTAGTTGTAAGGAATATATTAATCAGTGGTGTCTTGAATGGTTTAACTGTAATTTTTGAAGCAAAAAATACAGTGGACAGATGTTGGATATTCACAATAATTACTTTCTTTGTGTGGCCCTCCATTAAAAATTCATTTTTAAAAGAATGAACGATTAACCGCCGTTGAACGAACTTGTAACCCGGCTTCTACAAGTGGTTCTTGTGTTCTGCACTTTCTCAAACGTGGCGCCATCTGTTAGTACGATTGTAGTAATCTGCAAATCTAACTTTCTATAATATAAGATTCAGAGAATATCTTCAAATAAAATTTTCATTCTATCTAAATAAATTATAATAATTGACTTTCGTAGACAATAAATGCAGCAGATGTCTCTAAAAAGAAAAATGAGCATGGACCTGATACCATCTTATAATAAACTACTTTTAAGCCATCTGATACAGATGTATAACGTTATGCCATATAAAAAATAATTTAAAAATTTCTAAATTTAATTTAAAATACATAAAATAAAATGAAAAATTTCACTCTTCCAAATAAATAGAGTAACACATTCCACCATCTATCAACAATTTTATGAACTACAATTTTTTTAAAAAAATTTTATAACAAACATTAATTAAGCAATATTTATTAAAGTATCGTAATTAATTAATTAAATTTGAATAGCATTAACTTTTTTTACGATTATGGAAAAATAAAAGTATAAAAACACGATTTAAGATTCCTCGTATGCATTTTTTTTAATGATCCGGCGCACATGTCTAAGTTCCTGCAGCAATTTCTCATTTATTATATGTAGATTGGCATGATGGATGCAATTACAGAGCGGCGACTTCATAGGATAATTTGCATATTATTTCACGATGATCCTTGACGGATTACAGACGAGTTTTGACTTCCTTGTGATCGGACCGATACCAGGAAGTTCGAACAGACTTTCTGTGAGAATGTTATGTTTATCCTCTATCCGAATAATAATTTATGTAATAATATACACATTATTAACGTTATGTAAAATATTCGTATTAAAAAATTATTATCCTCTATCCGAATAATAATTTATGTAATAATATACACATTATTAACGTTATGTAAAATATTCGTATTAAAAAAATTACGGAATTTTATGTAGATTTGATGTCTTTTTTTTTCTTCGCTTACATTCCATCTCCGTGAAGGCTTTGAATGATTATAGAATGTTTAATGAAGTTAACAGAAAAAATAACTATGGTATTAAGTTTTTTAATTACTTTTTAGCGGTCGTAACTTTAAAATTATGAACAAGTAGAATAATATCTGTGATTGGCTAAAGGATATCGTTTTTTAAGACGAATAATGAAAGTTGTAACCAAGAGAGAAGAACCGCATGCAAAAAAAATGCCGCCATATTTATTTCTTTTTTTAAATCATAGTTAACAGTTTCTATTCAAAACGCTCATTTTCAATTAAAAAGTCTATAACTATGATACGATTATGATACTGATACGATTAATACATTACAATACTTATTCTTTATTGTATATGAAACATCCAATTCAAATCTCAAGAACTGAAAACTCGTTGTGTGCGTACAGTCTCGAACTTTTTGTTAAAGTGCGTTCTTTTATTACCCCGCGTATCTCCGCGCGAGCGGAATCCGTTTAAAATACTCGAAATATTACATCTATGACGTAAAACTCGTGACGTAACGCGTGACGCATTGTAACGACAAATTCAAATTCGTTCCATTTCGTATTGTTGCCGACGCCATCTTGGAATTTTATGCTTTCCGGAAATTGCGAGTTCGTTTTCCCTCCATTTTCACATTTTTCGTACAAATTTTAATAATGAAAACTCTCGTAACGTAGGTAACTTAATATTTTTTCGATTTATATAAAAATTAAATAATTTAAATTAGATAAGCTTTATTAAAACTAGATTTGCGGCCTGTAAGCTGTAATGATACGGAATGCGTTTTTATAATTTTATTTATTATTAAATAGCATACCGATATTTTACAAAAAGAGGACTATTTTAGCATTTTAAAGAAAACATTTGCAATTAGTTAATATTCTGACGTTGAACTTATGATGTAATGTGTGACGCATTTATCGCACGTTCTACCGATTCGAATTCGTTCGATTTCGTATTGCCGACGCCATCTTGAAGAAAAGAAAAGAAATAGACCCACCTGTTAGCAAATCTAATATAATCGAAATGGGTTGATATGATGATAATGATAATAATAAACCCAGAGCAAAAACGATTAGGAGTTAAAAGTTGAAATTTGGTACACAGTTAGGGTACGCCATGAGAATGCAAACTATAAACGGTTTTTTTTTTTAAATTCACCCTGCGGAATGGAAATAGACAGTTAAAAAATACCTTGAGAAAGTCGCTTTCTACTATACTATTTTTGAAGTATACTATTTATTTGGGTTTTTGCGAAATATCGAACGTGTGCACGTAAGAAAATACTCTAATTAGCATCAAAAGAAATGAAAAAAAAAAGACAAACTATATAAACTAAATATAAAGTACACACTATAATATGATAGTGTTTACAGGTTAGAAGTACAAAATGATATAATAATCTTAATGTTTGCTGTTGATGTTTTAACTGACCTACGCTAGGCTAATCCGCTAGCTTTTATATAGGCCTATAGACTTTTAAATTATTATTAAATATGAAATATAAAACCTATTAATTGTATAAAAATTATAAAAACATCCCAGACAAAGAAAATATAACTCAGAAATAATTGATTTCCAACCTAATTAACTAGAGTGTCGTTAAAACCGAAAACGGCCGGCGACGGGTGGGTTTCCCTCGGACGTGACATTTTACTTAGAACACCGAGGATTAGAAAACAATATTTTAATAAATAAATCAAGAGTTGTGGATTTGAGTCCCATTCTGGACAATTATTTTCTTTCGGAATATTCTAAATTTAAAATTAATTTAATTCTAATTTTTAAATTTATTAGGAGAACAGCTAAACCACCTATCTCTAGCCAAACTGATTTGTTATCTAATTAGTTATTAGGCTCAACATAGCCCAATAGATAATCTGACAGATCATTTGGTAATAGAAATGTGCTGGGTTGTTGTTTATTATGTAAATTACACAATCAATCCGCAAGAAGGAAGTGCAGCTACCCATTCTTTCACAGTTAAGAAAATATTGTGGCAATATAAATTAAAACTTTCAGTTGTATGAAATATGTTGTAAATTCCCGATCTTACAATGGTGGAAGCAATTGTTTCCAATCAAACCCCAACCACTTGTAATGTAATCTGAGTAAATTTTCTTTTTAGCGAAGTTTTACATTTAACAAATATTCTGCCAAATCCGAGAGAAAAGAATTTGTTAAAAATAAACTTTCCTTTAAAAAATGCAATTAAAATACTCGAAATATTACATCTATGACGTAAAACTCGTGACGTAACGCGTGACGCATTGCAACGACAAATTCGAATTCGTTCCATTTCGTATTGTTGCCGACGCCATCTTGGAAATTTATGCTTTCCGGAAATTGCGAGTTCTTTTTCCCTCCATTTTAACATTTTTCGTACAAATTTTAATAATGAAAACTCGCGTAACGTAGGTAACTTAATATTTTTCGATTTATATCAAAATTAAATAATTTAAATTAGATACGCTTTAAACCTAGATTTGCGGCCTGTAACCTGTAAGGTTACGGAATGCGTTTTTATAATTTTATTTATTATTACAAATATCTTAGCGATATTTTACAAAAAAAGAGGACTATTTTAGCATTTTAAAGAAAACATTTGCAATTAGTTAATATTCTGACGTAGAACTTATGACGTAACGTGTGACGCATTTATCGCACGTTCCACCGATTCGAATTCGTTCGATTTCGTATTGCCGACGCCATCTTGAAATAGAAAGTTTTCTGGAAATTGCGAGTTATTTTTCCCTCCATTTCGAGATTTTTCGTAAATGTTTAATTACATAAACCCGAATAACGCAGGCAATGTAACGTTTTTTATTTATAAGCGATCAAAATTGAATAATTGTCGATAGAATATTAAATGTAAAAGTTTCAAATTTTTACTTAAAATATTTAAGGTTGTTTCCACTTAGCATCGAATTAAATTATCAGATTATAAATGACATTCGCTTGCATATTGTCTTATATTCTTTTGAATGAAACAATAAATGTCCTGTATTAAAAACTGATTTTAATATTAAATTAATTAATTATCTAATGAATCATCTGGATCTTTTCTATTCTTAATATTTAAATTCTTAAATTCTTTTAGGAAGAAGTATCATTCTGAAATTTTATAATCCACTTTCCAAAGAGACATGGAATCATTTTAAAAACTTCTTGTGCTAAAAAAATTAACAAGAAGCAAAACAAAGGAAAGGTAAGACTTTTTTATTTTCATTCTAATTTGTTATGTATTCTGTACATTGATGCAGTAGAAAATAGTATATAAAAGTTTAGAATCCTCATTGATGAATCTAAGAATTTATTGTAGTAGAATGATGTTTGAATAATAATTTTATTCATTTATGCCATTTAGAATAATATGAATTACAATTTTACTTAGAAAAATTAATTTATTGTTAAAAAACAGAACTTTACAACTTATGTATTATTTATTTCAATGATACAGATAAATTTTAAAAAACATGTTTAACACACTGCAAAAACAATCCATTCAAACTTCACACCAATGCACTTGATTGGTTAGGTACCATTGGCAAAACTCCAAATTATCTAAAATTATTAGGTAGTCCTCTCAACTGTCGACAGTTATATTTCTGTCTCTATACTAGCTGTTTCTATACTTTCCTGCTGACAACACATACATCTCTCGCTGTGTGATGGGCTGGTGTAGCTTGCCTGCCTTGTTGGTTGTACCCAGAGAAGATCATGTCTGCTTCTTTGTGTGGTGATGTTGACCAATGTAATCTGCTCCATCATACTATCTGTCCATTTGTTTATCACCTCCTGGAGAGTGAATTCCATCACCTCTACAAGTGTGGCAGGGTTATGTGACAAAATAAAGAGACAGGTCTGGAGGATCGAACCCTCCTGAAGGAAGGGATATCTAAAGGTTGAGAGTGATTCAGACTCAGGGTCTGTGGTCTCCCACCAAACACAAAATGAAATGAACCCCAAACCTTGAAAAGCACCACAAGGACTTCTTTAAACTCTCTGTATATGCTTCAAAAGGAATAATTTCAAGTCTTTTAAACAGGTCTCTGAAAACTCAACTTTATAAAGATGATCATTTCCTGATAACTCCACTAGCTCTCTTTGATACTTTCTCTAACAATTGAAGGAAATACTGTGCAGAAGGTTAATGCTGACCCCAAGAATAGCAGTAATGGGGCAATGTATACTCTACCAGTGCCAGTAGTACTTTCTGAAGTTGACTTTTGTTAATCAATTTTTCAGATAATCAACTCTACTGTATAGTGAAAAAATTTTGAATTCCTAGTTTGTTGCCCATATGACTAATGCTTTAAGAATTCTTGACCTAAGAAAGTTCATTGTAAGAAAACTTTCATTAATCTAAAATAGTTTTCTGGACCTTATGCTGAAATTCCCTGATATAGAAAAAAATTGATGGAATCGGAGAATTGAATGACAGGAGTTGGGAAGTGTCAAGGATGTCAACTCAAAAGAAACTGCCTGAAAGACCTGTCAAATCAAGGAACTGACTTTAGAGTTTTTGAATGGGTTGATCGGACAGTTGGTTACATACTACATATTCAGAATGTTCTGGAAAGATCCCAAAAAACAAACACTGAAAGACTTATAAATAGTTTTGTGATCAATACTAGGTAACTGCCAAACAGGAAGATAATAGAAATGATGCTGGGAAGTTACATGAAGGAAGAGGAAAACAGAGAGTCTCAGTTCAATGCATCCTTACCATACTGTAGTTATTGTTCTTCAGTAATTTAAAGTAGGTAATGTCATCAAACAAAAACACTGAAGGGAAAAAACATCATGGTGGAAGTGTCTCCTAGTCTTTCAATGATTTTAAAAGTTCATTCCAAGATTGAAAGGAAATTCAAAATCCTTAATGAAATCCTTAATTATTGATTGCTGGAGTGTGACCATTTGTCAAACCATCAATCCATAAATGATGGAATAAAAGTGGCATTAAATTCAGCAGAATCAGGGATTCAGGCAGACAGATGTTGCTGTGAAGACTGGCATTCATTGAGGCATTCACTTTGTCGTAGTAAACAAGAATTTGTTTGTTTTGTTACTCTCTAACAAAAATAAGTTCTAAATGATTGAGATAGAGTATATCGAGATTAAGAGTAGCTAATATGTAAATAAGTAATATTTCTTTTAGCTAAATTTGGGACATTGATTAAACTCAGTTTACAGCTAAAAATTATGCAATCATATAAGAGCGTAAATTTTCAAAGTTTATTAAAGACTTTAATAATGCAATAATACAAACTATACCAGTCAAGACAAAAAAGTCATATCACACAATCAGTTAATTCCAAAATATTTTTATTATAGAGTAATTCTTTGCATAAATTCTGAGAGGGATATAATGTATTTACCTACTTTTAATTATCTTTTGTAATTACTTTTTATGTATTATTATTGATATAATGTTAATGATTATAATTATAAAGTCTGTGTGGGTTCACACACACACACACACATACATAGCTTTGGTGTTGTATTTATTGAATTTAGATTTTTTGAACCTTAAAATTAGATAGTGTAATGGCAAATTCTGCTAATGCTCCTAAACTTTTTGCATTCAAAGATCCATAAATCAGGCAACACTATATGAACTGTAATGCCATGCTGCGTACTTGCCTTTTAGAAAATGCTATTCATAATCTATTTAAAGATTATTTAAAAACCTATACATTATCCATCAGTAAAACAGAGCAAATAATTGATGATTAGTGGTAGTCAACTTATAGGAGATGTTTATATTACAGTCTTAGACTTTATACTGTATCTGTGTGCCACTTAATACAAATTACAACAAATTTTTGCCCTCTTAGACATTTATTACATAAAAGCAATAAGCAAGTCAATTGCAAATTTATCTTGATTTAAGCACATATTTCATGCTATTCCTCTTTCTTTCACTATGATTACAAGACATATGTTCAAAAGAGAGGGCACCTGTGGATAGCCTCTTGTCTGGGATCCTTTGTCAGATATAATATTATTGGAAAAATGATTTTATCAACTCTACCATGTATGCTTATGTGCAAAAGATATGTGGAAGATATCTTTATTATATGGAAAACAAAACCAGATATAAATGGCTTCATACAACAAATGAATGACAATCCTTATGGACTGTATTAAATTAGACCATGCCAGCAACTAAATGGTACATTTTTTTGGATCTTAAAATCAACAATAGAAATTAAAATATTCATCCAAATTTATATTACAAACCATCACACCCACCATTATTTATATCTGCAAGCTCCAATAACCCCTGATGTATACAAAATAGCTGCTTTTAGAGCCCTGACAAAAAGACCCTTTACCCATTGTACAGATTTTACTGAAATGGCAAATGACTATAACAGTTTGAATATATTGCTATAAAACAGGTTACTATAGAAACCTTATCCAGAATTTGGCTCAAACGTACTCTGGTGGTAATGTTCAAGGCTCATATGCTAACAATGGGATAAGAGATAAAACTATAAGAACCCAAACAATATACTCTGTATCTGACTTTATTACATGTAGACCTATTCTGGCCAAAAATATATATACAAACTATATTCTTACTTCATTTTTATGCCTTAATTAAACTGAAGTGTTTATTGAATAGTCATCAGTTAATGTACTGTACATCACTTCATTATTTGATTTGACTATTTCCATTCCAGGATTTTACAACTATTTTTAAATATCCAATATTATAATATACACAACAATATATCCAATGAAAAGCACTCATGCAAAAAAACATATTATCAAGGTGTTTAATTCATAAATAAAAATGATCTGTTAAACATTTCCAGGATATTACCTCCGACCATCAGATTCCACTATTAAACAGATTAGAATAGTGTTTTTCTAGGAATATTTTTCTTTTTTGTTGATTCTTTAATTTAATAAAACAACAACAACAACACAATTTTAAGTGACCAACTATACTTATATCTAAATCCACTAACCGTTTTGGAAATAAAAATCATATAGAATCTGGGTAGTGTAACCTACAATGCATCTCTAAACTAATCAGGAGTTGTGGATTTGAGTCCCATTCTGGACAATTATTTCCTTTGGACAATATCCTTTGGGATAGACAATGGACAATGTCCTTTCAGAATATTCTAAATTTAACATTAATTTAATTCTAATTATTAAATTTATTAGGAGAGCAGCTAAAGCACCTACCTCTAGCCAAATTGATTTCTTATGTAATTAGTTATTAGGCTCAACATAGCCCAATAGATAATCTGACAGATCATTTGGTAATAGAAATGTGCTGGGTTGTTGTTTATTATGTAAATTACACAATCAATCCGCAAGAAGGAAGTGCAGCTACCCATTCTTTCACAGTTAAGAAAATATTGTGGCAATATAAATTAAAACTTTCAGTTGTATGAAATATGTTGTAAATTCCCGATCTTACAATGGTGGAAGCAATTGTTTCCAATCAAACCCCAACCACTTGTAATGTAATCTGAGTAAATTTTCTTTTTAGCGAAGTTTTACATTTAACAAATATTCTGCCAAATCCGAGAGAAAAGAATTTGTTAAAAATAAACTTTCCTTTAAAAAATGCAATTAAAATACTCGAAATATTACATCTATGACGTAAAACTCGTGACGTAACGCGTGACGCATTGCAACGACAAATTCGAATTCGTTCCATTTCGTATTGTTGCCGACGCCATCTTGGAAATTTATGCTTTCCGGAAATTGCGAGTTCTTTTTCCCTCCATTTTAACATTTTTCGTACAAATTTTAATAATGAAAACTCGCGTAACGTAGGTAACTTAATATTTTTCGATTTATATCAAAATTAAATAATTTAAATTAGATACGCTTTAAACCTAGATTTGCGGCCTGTAACCTGTAAGGTTACGGAATGCGTTTTTATAATTTTATTTATTATTACAAATATCTTAGCGATATTTTACAAATAAAGAGGACTATTTTATCATTTTAAAGAAAACATTTGCAATTAGTTAATATTTTCACGTAGAACCTATGACGTAACGTGTGACGCATTTATCGCACGTTCCACCGATCCGAATTCGTTCGATTTCGTATTGCCAACGCCATCTTGAAATAGAAAGTTTTCTGGAAATTGCTAGTTATTTTTCCCTCCATTTCGAGAGTTTTAATTACATATACCCGAATAACGCAGGCAATGTAACGTTTTTTTTATTTATAAGCGATCAAAATTGAATAATTGTCGATAGAATATTAAATGTAAAAGTCTTAAATTTTTATTTAAAATATTTAAGGTTGTTTCCACTTAGCATCGAATTAAATTATCAGATTATAAATGATATTCGCTTGCATATTGTCTTATATTCTTTTGAATGAAACAATAAATGTTTTGTATTAGAAAATGATTTTAATATTAAATTAATTAATTAGTTAATGAATTATCTTGATCTCTTCTATTCTTAATAATTAAATTCTTAAATTATTCTAGGAAGAAGTATAATTCTCAAATTTTATAATCCACTTTCCAAAGAGACATGGAATCATGTTAAAAACTTCTTTGCTCAAACAATTAACAAGAAGCAAAACAAAAGAAAGGTAAGACTTTTTTTATTTTCATTCTAAATTGTTATCTATTCTATACATTGATGCAGTAGAAAATGGCATATAAAAGTTTAGAATCCTCATTGATGAATCTAAGAATTTATTGTAGTAGAATGATGCTTGAAATGTAATGTTATTCATTCACGCATTCAAAATAATACGAATTGCAATTTTAATTAAAAGTAATAAATTAGTCCTTCAAATTATATTTATTTCATATCAAGATAAATTATAAACATTTAAGAAAAACATTAGCAGAGAGTTTAAATCATAATATAATCTTGTTTTAAAATTATCAATGAGTAATTAATATGAATTTATAATGTCTATCTATTGATAACAGGATTTATTTAAAAAAATTAATTCTTAGCTTGCTATTTCAATTATCAAATAGTACATACACTTATACAGTTTTACATATACAAGTAGGCTATTTATTATTGGTATTGATTAATTCCAAATCAAAACAACTTTCCTTTATCAATTCCATACTAAATTTATTATGAATTTTTGAAAATTTACCAATAATGTTTTCTTATTATTCTGATTTTATATCTCTTTTCATTCCTTAACAGGATTTATTTTAAAAAATTAATTCTTAGCTTGCTATTTCAATTATCAAATAGTACATACATTTATACAGTTTTACATATACAAGTAGACTATTTATTATTGGTATTGATTAATTCCAAATCAAAACAACTTTCCTTTATCAATTCCATACTAAATTTATTATGAATTTTTGGAAATTTACCAATAATAATGTTTCCTTATTATACTGATTTTATATATCTTTTCATTCCTTCTATAATATTAATTTTAATATATTTTATTGAGAATTCTGATATTATTATTATGTTATATATAATATAATATGTAATAACAATATATATGATGTATTATTTATAATTTTTTGTGTGATTGTATAGTAAATATATTTGAATTTTATCTTGTATTATTGTGATGAAGAA